ACATAACTTAATAATAAACTTAACAATTAGATGTTTCATTATTTTCTTTAAAAGTAGTGTTTGTACCAGGATAAGTGCCGCGGCAGAACTTTAAGCCATGCTAAAACTAATGCAATCCTTTTTTTATCGTAATCCTCAATTTATGTCAATTGTTAATTGACGTGTCATTCTCAAATTAAAAAAAAAACGACATACGTTGTTTTGCATCGCACTAATACGGTTACTATGTTTCGTAATATGATAATTTTTATTAATTAAAAAATTTATTTATTACCGACGTATTTACATTTAAAGATATTGATAAAATTAATTTCACAAAATTTTACTAATTCGACACCCTACTTCAGCTTTATTTCATTTCGATTTTACCACAAAGCTTCGAAAATCAGATTCTCTAAAATTATTTGTTGCATAAATTGTTAGTAACATATTCATCATATTCATCTTTTTCAACTCCAATACCATAAAAATAACAATATCCAACCTGATATGTTCTATTAGCATCCTATTCGTCCGTGTAGATCTTTACAATTTCGTCAAATACCTATAATAATACTGTATCAGGATGATACCGCAGTGAGCAAGATTTCGTCATCATAAAGGAAACGTGGCCAACCCCTCCTTCAGAATTAGCAAGTCCTACTCTGAAAATCTCTTAGGGTCCAAATTACACGCCCCCGTCTTGAATCGTCACTGTCATCAATCATCATCATTGTTTCTTCTTCTCTTCCTCAAGACGGAGTGCAATTTTTTCCCTATGCCCTATTAGCTTTTCACATAAGGAAGCTTTCAGTTAGTTAGAAAAGGAAGAACGTTCACAGTAGGCCGTCCACCATACGTCAAGTCTGGCTACTCGACTAGTAACTTTCGCAAACTGTGGCCGCGACGTGCTTCCAGTTCCTTTCCTAACTATCTTACTCACTCCAAACAATATATAAAAATACTAACCTTTTAACCATTTTTCCAATTAGGCTTCCGAGAATGCACGCGAACTTCGTGTTGTTTCTTTATATTTAGAAGGGAAGAAATAAAAGTAAATAAACACAAAAACAAAACAAAAATAAAAAGTATAAGCACGTTAAAAAGGTGTAAAAAAAAAAAAAAGTAAAAGTAAACAATTACTTTTACGCGTAAAAGTCTGATTTGATATACAGAAGTTGGTTTGATTGGTCAAGTTTTGTAGATCTACACATGAAAATTGGTCAATCAAATTAAAGGAAAAAGCCCACATAAACTCGAACCATAATACATTTTACTTAATACGTATAAGAAATTGTTAAATCAAAAATAGGACTAATTCTAACAGCCAATTATCCAATCTTTTCATGCCTCGTTCGAAGCCTTTCAAATTAGGATTATAAAGTAGAAGCTTAATATAATGTATTATAATAGGAATGCTAGGTTTGCATAATAATCACCTTACTCAAGTTCTAGTTTTATTCATGTAGATAGTCGCAGCTTCACTCATCATAGCGCTATATCAAAAGATTATTTTGTAAGCAAAGGTATACAGTATTGGAAATACAATTTAAAATTATGCACCCGTTTTTATTTCATTTACTTCTTCGACAAGATGGGTTTATGTTTTACGATTATAGTGTATTTGTTTTTTGCTAAGTATAACGTTATTAATTATGTATATTGCTTGTTTTTCAATTATTTTACGTTCAATAATGATATTCTAAGTCGTTATATGTTTTTTTTATTACTTAAAACCAGCAGTCTTAGAATTTGAAGACTTGTTTGTCAATTATGGTCTAAACAATTTGGTTATTGGTAGTATTAACCGTGACAAGTGTAAATTTGAAGTTAACTTCGATGTTGAAGTTACCAGAGTTCTTAAAAGTTTGCGATCCAGAGTGTATCGTCCATATATGCAAGGACATGTTTGTGTTGTTCTCTGAAAAAATAGTAGAGGTTTAATACGTCATCTTATAGCCAGTATGGTTTTGAGAAATATAAAACAGTAGTAAATTATAGTATATCCGCAAGTTTACTTCTATTAATCTTGTGTTAATAAATTCCCATTTCTCATCATTATTTTTATCTTTTCCAATTTCGTTATTAATTTCGTCAAGAATTTGGTTTAATATTTGTTTATGACCGAATATACTTGATTTATTTAAACAACAATTATTAATAAAATTTTTGAGCTATGTATTTGGCCAGACCTTTTGGGTTTGTCCACTTTAAGTAAGCTTAAAGCGGACAAACTCAAAGAGTCTGACCAAATTCATAGCTCAAAAATTTTATTAATAATTATTGTTCAAATAAATCAAGTATATTCTTATAGTTATAGATAATATATTTATAAAATTTTAGAATTATTTGTTTGATTTAATTTTTTATAATTAGCAATTATTTTTTAAACGTTTGGGATTTGTCGAGATTTGTCCAGCATGTATAACTGTATGTCGAACTTTGCGTTAACTTCTTATAACGTAAGAGAAATGAAAGTGTTGTTAAAGTCACCTGTCCTCCAGGATAGCTCGATAAATCACATGACCCGACCTTCGACCAACACCCGGCAGTCGTACAAACCCGTATTGAATCTAATAGATTAAATCGATATTCATCCCCACTCTTATATTTCTTAGTCTATATATTATTATCTAGTAACCTTTCTATTTCTTCCTTTTATTATATCATTAACCAACATAGAATTAGTATTAACAAGTGAAAAATAGATTAGTCGTGCAGATCTATAGTAATGAACATGTATAAATAGCCCCGATATCATATCATTGAATGGGGTGTGCTTCCACTTGCGAAATATTTAATAAAGAGTCATCGTGTCTTCATACACGAGCAACTCAAGGATTTTATTAATAAACTGTTATACATCTATTTGTATCTTCATATATATTTAGTCGTTGCCTCTTTCGTAATTGCAAATCACGCTAAATCCTCTTAAACGTCAATACTAGTTATTGACATAAATAATTACTGCATAAGACGGTCGTAAGACATTCAATTATTATCGTCTTCAACTACTATCTTGTTACGTTAACCTGCACTTATAGAGAGGTAGTCCGGGTCTAACAATACTAGGGTCAAATGGAGTATCAATGTAATTTTGGTGTAAACGTATGTAAAGACCATCATTAGTTCTACCAGTTCGACCTGTCCTTTGAATGGCACTAGCTCTACTAGAATAACGAGTAACATAAACACCATTAAATTTACCTATACTTAAACCACTATCTATCACTAAATTAATATTTGGGATAGTGATACCTGCTTCCACTACACTAGTAGCGAAAATTACTTCTACATCATCTCTTATTTTTTCATGTCACCCACTTAGGATTTGACAACGCCTATTCAAACTGTTTCGTAACGTATCATGTAATTTTACACAAACGCTATATGAAAGATGAATAACTAATGTTTTATGATTTGGAAACATATTCAAATAATGAAACACATTGCTTTCTAAATGATGATGTGTTGGTGTAGGTAATTCAGTAACTGAGTATGGGTTACAAGTTTTTTTAAGTTTTACCTCTACACCATTTGGGATTGGTATTGGTGTCACACTCAAACAATATATATGTCCTTTATATCGTTCCATTAAAATGAGTGAATCTTCATCCATTTCATGTACTTCATCTATTCCAATTACAAAATCTTTAGTTTCAAATTTTTTGTTTATAGCCAATAAATAACCATGAGTGCTTATATTTGGTCCATTATCATCAAATTCATCAGTGCAACCTGAATATAATTTAGGCCATGTTGATGGGTGATTTGTTACTAATAAACGTCTAGGTTGTGATAGCACTGAACATTTGAATTGCGCTTGAAATTGAGCAGCAAAATGTGTTGATTTTCCACCACCAGGAGGGCATGTTATAATCGGTATTTTTCCTTGTTTCATCAAATCCAAGGCTTCTTGAACTAATTTACTGTGATCAAGTGGTGTATAAAATAAACCTTGGTCTGCAGTCTTAACTATTTTGTCTAATTTAAACAACTATTAATGCACTTAGCTCTAGCGAAGATCTACCAAACATTATCCAATAAAGAAAATTTAGGTCTGCGAAACCCGTAAACCCAAAATTTGTATGAAGTTTACTTAATTTGATTAATGTTCTTAAAATTGGATATTTTAGTAAAATTCCTTCTAAATAGTTAACTAGTAAACTAGCTAACAATATACCGATCATATGATTGCTAAGTCGAAATATCTCACGAGAATCATACACAAAATTATGACGAAACTTCTGAGGGGAAATTATGGACCCAAAAGGAGATTCTTTTACAAGCATCATGTATTCTTCCAAGCTATTTGGACACCCACCATTATAGTATATCCATCTTTCGATGATAAAATCTGCACAAATTGGATGGGTATCGGGATCAAAGAATAATGTATCTTTACTTGCTGTAGGTAATTTTAAATCTAAACAATATAACAGTGTAAAAAAAAAATTAGAAACTCGTTTATTGTTTTGCATCCAATCAGAAATTAGTTAACTATCATTATTACACTTAGCACTAGCTTGTTTAAATTTAGCGGGTATGTAATTGTTGGACTCCAAAATTGTGTTGTAAGCCACATGGCTTTGGTCGGCTGGCCTAACCAGCAGACTAAAACCATGCGGCTTACAAAATTAAGAAAAATAATAGAATTCTTGTAAAGGAAAGATACTTCTAAACCACAAAACTTTGTAAATTACTTCAAGATAAGCTCTTAAATTACATTGGATTACATTTATACTCTATAATTATTTGGATGTCAACTACTTCTATAATGTAATTTTAACTTTTTACATATTGCATATATCGATATCATATGTGATAACATTTGTGCATACGTATGATGCTTTTAATTTTTTGATAGAATTTAATTCGGAAAATTTGAGTTGGTATTTTGGGTTGGTATTTTGAGTTTTAGCAATAATAATCCCCAGATCACTATATCAAGATCACGGGAGGATTATTATATCTAACTAACCGTTAATCAAGTCAATAACTTAAATAGAAATTAAAATCAAATTCATCCAGAATTTTATTGTAACTTGTATCTATTTTAAGATTTGGTTTCGGCGTACTGTACACAAAACAAGAATTGTACAGAAGAAAGTTATCCCTACCTAATTAAGGGCGAATTGTACAACAAAAGTTATCACTGATTAAGGGTCTCATGTAAAAATTTATTATGCCATGTGGCATTCATGACATCTGCTGACTGCATGTCAATTGTGTGTCAACCAATCAGAAAAAAAGTTAATTTTGTGATCATTTTTTAAAATGGGAATGTTACTTTTATAATTACTATTAAAGACCGATCTTGAGTAATTTAGTCTTACAATGGTGGTGAAAACACAGTTTCTTGTTGCTGGTATGTTGATCAGCGGTGTATGCAATACAATTCTGAACAAACTTCAAGACATGCAATGTGTTTCTCACTGTGAAGATCGGGATCATTCAAAACGTGAATATTTCGAACAGCCTGTGTGGCAAACTTTGAATATGTTTGTTGGTGAAACTCTATGTTTCATCGCTGCTTATTTTCTTTTATACTGGGAACACTCTCAAAAAAAAATCCTTTTGCCGACACATGAGCCTTTAGAAGTCGAATCCACTCTTACTAATGATTCTGAAACAATTATTGAAAATGGATCTGTTAATCCACCCATAAAGGTTGACGATGACTATCGTGGTCCTAGTGAAGAAATGTCTGGATGGACTGTATTCTTGTTCTGGTTGCCTACTATGTGTGATATTATGGGCACTACTGTATGTATGATTTGAAAGTAGTACGTAAATATTTAATTATTTGAAAATATTTGACTATATTCTATTTTTTTAGTTTATGAATGTTGGCCTTATTTATACATCTGCCTCCGTCTATCAAATGTTACGTGGTGCAGTTGTGTTATTTACTGGCTCTTTTTCTGTATTATTTCTTCGTCGGCGCTTGTATCCATACCATTGGTTTTCATTGATTCTTGTGGTATTAGGTGTATCAATTGTTGGCATGAGTAGTGTACTCTTTCCACCTGTAAAACTCGTAGCTCCAATTGATGCTATACCTGATCTTGGAATACCCGTTGAAACAACTGATAATTCAATAGAAGCGATGGTTGGTGTTTTCTTTGTTGTATTTGCTCAATTATTTACTGCAACGCAATTTGTTATAGAAGAAAGAATTATGGAAAAATATCGTGTTAGACCGGTTTTGGCTGTAGGGTTAGAAGGAATATTCGGTTTATCTACAGTAATTGTTGGAATGTTTATATTACATTTCTTGTTTGGTAAAACGCATCCTGGCGGTTATTTTGACATTTCAGTTGGATTTAGTCAACTTATTAATTACAGAATAATTTGGATTTCTGCTATTTCAATATGTTTTTCTATAGCTTTTTTTAATTTCTTTGGATTAAGTGTTACTAGAATTATTAGCGCCACTGCTAGATCTACCATTGATACTAGTAGAATTGTTTTTGTTTGGATGGTTTCTTTGTTTCTTGGATGGGAAATATTTTCTTGGTTACAAGTCTTTGGTAAGTGTTTTTTTTAAACTTTCTAGATTTTTCTTTTTACTTTCTAGATTTTCTTTTTACTTTCTATATTTTCTTTTTACTTTCTAGATTTTTCTTTTTACTTTCTAGATTTTCTTTTTACTTTCTAGATTTTCTTTTTTTACTTGCTAGATTTTCTTTTTTTACTTGCTAGATTTTCTTTTTTTACTTGCTAGATTTTCTTTTTTTACTTGCTAGATTTTCT